AACGCTACCTAAATTTAGGGTATGATCTGCGCCTATCAAAAAAGCTACCACAGATCTATCAAAAACGATACTTTTGCCTTTTTGCTAATAAGTGAAACTTAAGAATTCGACCTTTAGAAGTTTTACGTGATGGAGGATCACCTTCTTTAAATTCTTTAGAAACTTCAATGCCATACGTCCATTTTAGTACACGAGTTTTAATTGCATCCGTATCTAATCCATACTCAACAGCACCACGAGTTATAGCAGCTACTGGATGTGGTGGGGTTGCAATTTTATAACTACTAAATCTTTATTTAATTCGTGCCTGAAGATATTTAGATTCACTAAAACCTCCAACTAAAAATATTATTGAACATTGATGGATTTTTTTAAGCTGATCATCAATTAGATCAATAATTTGATCAACAACTGGATCAAAGAATGATTTAACAGTCTCATAATTAATATCAATCACCCAATCTTCATCTTCCAATTCATTTTTAGTCTCACTATTAAGATATTGTATTAAAGAATCACAATATTTTAAAAGGTCAAATTCGAATGTTCTAAAGTCAGCGGGATTACCAGTGAATGGAATTTTAACTCTTTCACAAAACTGTTGAATAACGTAGTAAAATTGCCCATAATGTTTCTCTTTTAATGATGAAATTGCATATTCACCAACCGATCTTTTCAGATATTCAATAAAGTTTCTATCTACATAAGTGCCACCGCAAAAATCACCGGAACGTTCGGTAGTTTCACTAAGTTGATTATTAGATAATAATTTGCGGACAGTTAAATCCACGGTACCACCGCCACAGTCAACAACAAGATAAGTTGCTAGTTGTTTTCGTTTAAAAGAAATAATAATAATAATAATAATAATAAATTTTATTACAATGAACTTAAATGAAATTATAAATTCTTTTATACACAATACACATACCTCCAGTTTTTAGTCCATGATCTTTTAGTACTTTCATACAGTGTATAGCAGCAGCTTCAGCTATAATTGTAATTAAAGTTATACATCCGATATATGAGTTTGTATTATTTCATTTTAGCAAGTCATCTAACCAATATCGAAATGAACCGTTGTGTAGCTATATCCAATCAATTTCGTCACATTTGTGATTGATACCGGCATTGATGACAACGTATTTAGCTAATTTGCGAATTATAATAGGTACTTACGCTCGGTGCTAAATTGCAAATTTTGTGTGCCAAGATTATCGATTAAATAAGCATCTTAGATACATTGTCTCATAATAGCTTTCGTTTCTTCAGTGAATTCTATTTAATTTTTATATTAACAAAAGAATTTAAAGTCCTTAAGATAAATTAATTAATATTTTTATATAAACTTACCGGCAGGAATGGTAACTACTAAACGCACCATTTTAAAAAAATCCGTCCCCGGCCAATGTTTTTCAACAGTTTCTTTTATAAGCTATATAAAAAACAACTCATATTAATTTTTTACAAAAATATTATACATCTTTTAATATTAAAATTCATACCTCGCCTATAAGCATGAAGATGGTTTTAGAGTAGTTATATATTTTTTGCTTACCGTATTCTAGAGATGGGCAAAATACAAAATTATCATTTTAGCATGCACATGCGCATGCATTTTTTGCATGCATGCATGCATGTTTTGGCCAAAATTATGATTTAATTTCTTAATGCCGGCCAGAATTAATTGCATGTTTTGCATACCATGCATGCAATTGCCCATCTCTACCGTATTCTCGCGAAATAACGTAATAACGCGCATGTGCGTTATTTCGAATGTGGCCCGAGTTAAGTTAATTTAGGCCATAATTCGAAATTACACCCTTGCGCGTAATGCGTTATTTTACGAAAATCCTGTATTAATTTTTTTACATACCCATTTTGCCAAGATAATCAGCAATTGCTCTTTCAGGAGAAAGGCCTCGTGGCAATTCTGGTTTTTCGTTTTCTGGAACTTTTCCTAAATGAAGTTTAAAAAGTTCCACTGGTCGTGGCAATTTTCTTACCCTATTTCTACGTTGTCGAGTTTCGCCAACCAAAGCCCGAGCACCCCACTCAATAACATTAAAATCTTCATCATATTGCAATACTGTATTGGTTTTATATTGAGCATTTACCCCTGGCCAGCTTTGATTTGTAATGACTTCACAGGAACGGACACTAGCACATGCAAAACCCTGTGTCAAATAGTATTTAATTAATTTATATTAGAAACTTCATAATTAATTATCTTACGACCATATTGTTACTATCATATTAAATTTTGATCATGGAAAAACAGATCAATCAATATCATAGCATTACTTAAATAAGACAAAACTTTGAGTCTCAGAGTTTATTTATTTAATATGATAAACGCATATGATAGTAATAATTGCCGGACGATAAGTTATAATGATGATAAATTTTTTGAATTTACTGAGAATGTTGTGCCAAAATCTAATTTTGAAAAAAAATAAAATGACGTTCATTAAGTCACGAAAGTAAATCTTTTAATGCAACATTGATTTTTCGTTAATATATATATACATTAATATATATTTTTTTTTACCTATTCCAACTACAACACGAATATCACATGGTGTCTCAGGTATATATTTAAAATTGTATACGCGTTTTTCAAAAGGATTACTCGCCATAATAAAGTTGTTTTCGTGTTTTAAAGAAGTTTAAAAGAATCAAAAGAAAGGAAAATTATAGAGTTAACTTTATCGTTACCAAATATATAAAATGTTATTTTATTCGGACTTTATATTCCGTAACTTTTTGAATATTATACATTTCACCGATTACACGTACGAATTAATTTTTCAACAAAAAATTGGCCTATTTTCTTTTTTTTAAAAATGTCACCAATAATGTGTAGGCATAGTATGTAATAATTCCATATACACTACGTACGTATGCACGTATATTTCAGTATTATATTGGTCATATAAACAAAACAAAGCTTCATAACTATAAAGGGTTTATTCGCTATTACTATTGTTATATTACTTTAAATGGATATCTTATTACCTGAATAATACCCTGGCTCAACTCTCTC